TATAATAAAATAGTAACTAAATATTTATTTTAAATATAAATTAATACTTTTTAAATACTAAATAGTTCATAACTACAATTTATAAGTAGTTATTTAATAAAACTATTAAAATGAGTGTGGCAGTTTAGTGAAGTGGTCTAGTTATCACCTCATTAAGCGACAGGTTTAAAGTTTGAATCCCATGGATAATATTTTCAAAAAATAAGCCTATAATACAGTGATGGTCGTGGCTGATTAGTTGAGTCTCAGAACCTGTAATCTTGATAATACCATATTCACATGGGAGCTTTGGCATATAAAAGACCAAGAAATTGCAATGATTGAAACCTGTTTGGGAAGTCCCAAGTAAGGAGGTAATGGAAACTTTCAATGATGCTACAAGAAGACCAAACTTGAAACCAGAGACTGAGACTGGAGAACCAAGCAACCAGTTTTTAAGTAGGAGACATACCAGCTGAACCACTGGGTTGCTAAAACTGAAGAAAAAGAATATGTGCTCCAGAAGCATGTACCAAGAAGAGAATACCTGTAGAGTATTTAATGCCTAGAGAGACCAACCTTTCTGAGTTGACAGCTAGAAGTAAGAGAGAGACCGGTTAAGAATCTGAAGAAAAGGGAAGTCCGAATAAAGGTATCGGGGTTGAAGTGAATCTTATAAGAGCATAGCAGTTAAATAGGGATAACCCCAACTGCAAGTAGAAGCCTTGGCAACTGTAGTACCAGGTTAGCCAAAATGGGATATAGAAGACTCTGGTGGGTTTACCTCGAGGATAGACCAAGTTGGTAAGTCCTAAGACACAAATAAAATTCAGGTAACTGAGTTAAAAGATCCCACCTAGTAGAATTAGGTTATGATTAGAGGGTTTAAAATAGGTAACTCCCTAGTCGGGTTGTAGGTATAGCAGCTAGTGTAGAATCTAAGGTGGACTACTTAAATAGACAACCAAAAGTTGTACGTGTGGCTAGTCGTACTCTCGTTTGTAAGAACTAGAGAGTTTAAATAGGTAATCTCCTAGTTAGATTGCAGGTATAGTGACTAGTATAGAACTCAAAATAGGTGAACTACTTAAATAGATAACCAAAAGTTGTATATGTAGCTAGTTGTACCATCATTGTAACTAAAACTTAACTTCTAATAAAAAGTTATAGCCAAAGAGATCACCTTTAATACCAAAAAAAAAAAAAAATTAATAAAACTATTAAAATAATATAAGTTAAACATTTTTTTAATTTCCTGATATAGGCCTGCTAAATTATACTTCCAGATTTTTTTTAGCACTTCTATGTCTTCTAGCTGCTATTCTTCAACTACTAGCTCTGCTAATAAATAACCTTCTGCTATATGGAGTTTGGTAATGTTTTCAACTTGATCTTTACTATTCAAACATGACTAGAGTTTAATGAGTTGTTGGGAGAAAACTTCATAATGCAATATCTTGCATCTTTCTATTTCTGAGTACAATATCAGATAGTTACCTGCTATAGCTAGAAGCCCAATTTTGTATTTGATTATCTTCACTATTGGCTAATAGATTCTTGTAAGACCAATATGTAAAATCTTGATAGTTTGCAATATATATGCAAGTTTTAGTATGATACACATATTGTTTATATATATAAGCTGACTGATTGAAAGGCTTTTGGCTTGCATTGTTTTAGTAAAATGCCTTACTATGTTTTTGACTTTCTTTACTACCAATTTCTCATTAACTTTTATACTTAGCCAAATACCAAAGAGTCTTGTTAGATCTCTTTTGCCAACTACTTCAAGTAGATACCCATTAATTCTAATGCTTTTTTCTTTTTCATTTAATTGCGAGTTCAGCACTAGTAACTTTGACTTTTGGCTATTTATCTGTATATCATTAAACTTAAAAAAACATTAAATAATCTCAAGTATTTTCTCTATTTGCTTTTTATTTGCACCTAACTATGTTGTGTTATTAGCAAAAGCAACTGCTGCTTGTCTTATAACTCTCTTGTTAACTTTGTTTTTTCTTATATCTAGTATCTTCTCTCCTTCTATTTTGTAACCTAATTCCAGATCATCTTGGATTTTACAAAGTAGTGGATTATAAAAAATTCTTTATATTAGCAGCAAGATTGTCTTTCTCTACTCTATACCATCTTCTGTCTTAAACTTATTTGTTAATCTGAATATCATAATTATTTTAATCCACCTTTTGTTAAAGAGCTCTATAATAAAATCAATGACTTGACTGGGTAGCTTTATTCTTGTGAGGGCTAGCTTGAGAGTTTTAATCAATATATGTATATTTTTTAAATTACTGTATTAACGTTAATATATTTGAATCGTAGACTTTTTTATATCTTGCAGCATTACTCATAGCTCTCTTTTATCTTCTTTGGTGTCTTCTATAACGATGTTGACTAAGTTAATTGCACTATCTGTTGAGCAACCAGGTAGCCCAGCAAAATTAAGGCCTTTGAGCACTTCTTTTTCTACTAATATGCTTGCAATTTGCTGTGTTACTACATGTGTTAGGCATTTTTTGAAGGTTTCAAGTAATGCAATTGGTTTGATATTGTTTAGCTAATATCTTTAGTTTTTGTTTTTTGGAATTGAATATACTTGTATCAACTTCCACTTCTGTGAGATTATACTGTTATCCAAGCACAAACTAGCAAGCTTTACAAACATCTTTTGTGCTTTACTGCTTATATTTTTAATAAGCGCATACCCTATTTTTGTCATCCCTGGTGCTGTTTTGTTACTAGCCTTACTTAACATGGCAAACCATTTCTTTAATGCTATTTTTTCTGTTATATAACTATACTATTTTTACTTACTTCACTTAGAGATTTATAGAACTTATTTATAATCTCCACTTTAAGCTCAACATTTCTCTCTTTAAATTAACTCTAGAAATATTCTTTGGTCTTTTCTAACACTTCATCGGGCTCATTATATAATGCACTTTCACTACTAGTTTGCTTGAGCACTCTATCAATATTAATCTTTCTATAAAACTTTTCTAATATGCTTGCTAACATTCTCTCAACATTACTATCTATTCTTTCAAACCTTTTGTTTACTGCATTTCTTATTTTGGTACAAGTATTATTGTCCTCTGTTGCTTTCTTAAGTGTATATATTGCTTTTCAACTTTGCTTTGCTATTACTATCCAATCCTACAATATTGTGTCATTGCTATTTAATTTATCTAGCAATATCTCATACAAGTTGTTGATATGTTCTACTATATTGTTAACTTTCTTTAACTCTGCTTCATCTATCTCATGCATGCTTCTTTTCTTTTTAAACATCTGGATTACTTTGCTTAGTCTGGTCACATCTTTGTGTATTTTTGTTTCTTTTCTTCTATGTCTGGCCTCTGTACCAGAGTTGTATAATCGCTTCTTTGGGATTGTCTTGTTTGCTGCTCTCTTAATTATATTTATGATTGTGTCCTATAACTCGTTTATATACTGTTTAGAGCTATTGATTCTAGGCTGCTTAACTACTTTGCTATTTAGAAGTAAGCTATCTATCTAATTTTTATAATCATTCTAGTTTTCTTTAGTTGCTTTATTATAAAGGAAGACTGTTCTGGCTACTCTGGTTTTTCTTGTTTTGACCATACTTCTTATCTTTATAAAATGCTTTAACAAAATATCAGCTATAATAATATTGTAATTGCTTGCTATTATAACTTCAGCTTCTATAATCTCTGCTTTTACTGTACCATAAAACAGGTCTTCTGATACCCATATTTGGTCTATTCAAGTTTCAACGCCTTGGCCTAACTAGGTATACATTTTTGCATTTGAATTTAGTTCTTTAAATATATGTATAAAACCTGATTCCTAAACCATTTGTGTAGTAGTAGTATCTTGTATGCTGTGTGTCTATCACCACCTCTCTTATCTAGCACTGGGTCTGTTATTTTGTTAAAGTCACCTATTACTATAAAGTGCGCTTTGCTAGATCTCTCTATATACTTTGTAACAATTGTTCTCTAAAGCACCTTCTCTAACTCCTTATCACTTGGTAGAAAAAATACAACTATTACTATAATTTTAGTTTGTCTAAAATAAAATCTAGCTTCTATCATGTACTCTTCTACTCTTAAAACTTGTTTAAGATGCTTTTTTCATATTGCATCTATAATTAGCCCAACCTCTGAACCTTTTTTTTTCTTTATCATGTTTTGTGTTCAAAAATCTTTTTTGCCATTACTCAACTCGCTAAATTTTAGTTCTTTCTCATTTGTGTTTGTTTCGACTAACTCTAATATATTAACTTCATTCTCTGATATTTACTTATTTAACACTTTAAGCTTTGTCTTACCTTGGTGTACGGGAGCTTATGGGGCTAACTGCAGAGTGGGTACAGAAGATCAGAGGGTTTAAATAGGCAATCTCCTAGCAGGTTGCAGGTATGGCAGCTAGTGTGGAACCTTCGGGCGGACTACTTAAATAGGCAACCAAAAGTTGTATGTGTGGCTAGTTGTACACTCATCGATGTACTAGAAAATGTTATACAATATTTGTAATAAGACATTGAAAAACACAATAAAGCGTTAGCACCGTGACATCGGTTTAAAAATAAAAAAAAAAAAAAAAAAAAAAAAAAAAAAGCTTTGTCTTATTACCCTTAATCCTATTGATGTTGTGGTATGCTATATTTAATCTAATATCTCTTTTTTGTATTATAAAGCTTGACTTTGTATTGTCTTTACTGCTTTATGGCTGAGTCCTTTTTGTATAACTTGATATTGAGCAGCCACTTTCCTCTTTTACAATGCCTGTGGCAACTTTCAGAAGCAATTGGGGGTGTTAACCTCGTGTTGTCTTCTCTCGATCTTATTAAGCATCTTCATAATTTCTTCTAATATATCACCAAATTTTTCTACAATTACTTGATCACCTGATTTTGTTAATTTTTTTGTGGTTTCTCTTGTATTGCTCATTGACTCTTCATTACTTATCTCTTTTTGGTTCTTCTTGTTTGCTCTTCTTTCCTCTTTGACTTCTAACTAGAATTCAATTCTAGGCTTTTGTATATGATCTCTAACTGCTTCGTTTGTCTCTCTCTTCTTGAATTTATTTAAACCCAGGATATGCTTTCTAGAGTTTTCTTTTTTATTTAGAAAACATCTCTCTTTTAACATGTCTTTGTCTCTTCTTTCCCTAGACCACTTCTACTTTTTTTCTTTTTATCTAGCTATTCAAGCTTTGTATTATAATAAAAAGTATCTCTTTCTTGAACTAACTTTAGTTCTTCTCTTGATTCAAAGTACACTGATATTGTGTGTCTTTGGTTTCAGTTATTGTTATATGAAATATAAACTGCTTTTGTGTCTACTTCTTTTAACTATTTTAGCAAAAGTACTTCTATTGCTAATGTAGGAATATTTTTAATTATTCTTTTAAATCTTGTTCTACTCTCTAATACTTCTTTGACAAACGCACCAGGTATTACTCTCAACATTTTTTCTTCTACAAAATGTACTGCTCATGTAGCTTTAAAAGCCTGCTTATGTCTTGTATTGTGGTACTTAATTGTGAAGAATACTGCCTTGTTTTTTCTTTGTAGTTTTCATTTTAGAAGTGTAAACATTTCTTTATTGCTTGTAATTGCATGTATATTGGTAAATCCCATAGTGTAAATAGCTCAGCCTGGTTTGCTTCGTTTGTAACTGCTCTTATTGGTATTTCTTTATGTTTGTTACTTTTACTTAACCCTTGTATATTTTCTATGATCTCAGTATTTATTAATACAGGTATAACAAGTAATATTTTTTCTAGTTCTTGTACCAGCTCTTTTGTCATGTCATTCTTTAGTTCTTTGCTATCGGATTTCTCCTTGTCTTTTACTCTCAGATCTAACTCTATATTACTTTTCTTTGTCATTGATGTATACTAACTCTTTACTATTGACTTCTTCTATACCATAATTGACTACTCTACTCTCATACTTTATTAGTTTTTCTTTAATCTGTTTATCAAGTCTTGATTTTGCTACATCCTTTATTAACTTTGCCTCTTTATCTTTACTCTTTAGATACTCGCTATAGTCATATAACTTTATAATTCTTTTAAAAATACTTATTGTTTCAGATGCAGCTCCGGTTAATACTGCTATTTCTCTGTCTTTTCACAATACTAAATATGTATTTTTTATCTTGTTACATTCTACTCTTTGGGTGATTTTGTAAAAAAATTCTTATACTCTTCTAATTTGCTGAACTAGTTTAACTCTGCTACTGCAGTTTGTCTATTACATGTCATCATCCTGCATCATATATATTTGCTTCTAGAACGTTATCTTGTTTTAGGCACTAGTTATACATATATTATTTTGGTTACTATTTGTTTTGTACTGTATTAGCATGTTTGTTTACTTTGTACAATATACAAAGATTTGCAAACTGGAATAAGCCCGTTTCTCACTTTTCTTTACAGAAGCAAAAAATTTTTTTTGGCCAAAAGGCTATTTGGAACATAACTTATGCTACTTGTTATAGTTTATTTTTTTTTTTTTTTTTTATATTGCCGAATTGCCATAACAGACAAACTTTATTAGGAGTAATGTTAAAATGTTATTACATTTTATATTGTTATATGCTGCAAGTATATTTCTAGATTTATAAAAGTATATCAAGCCACACATGCACCTTTTGGCTGCCTATTTAAGTAGTCTGCCTGAAGGTTCTACACTAGATATCATACCTGTAACCCAACTAGGGAGTTACCCGTTTAAACTCTCTGATATTCCCAGTTCTGCACTGCCCTGTTTGGTTCAAACCGTCTCACCTCATACTGTACAAAGGCCACCCAGGCTGGCATTCTCCCACTGACTTTACCTCTTTATTTATAAACTCTTCGACTAGTATTTTTCTAAGGAAGAGTGCAGTAGATGCCCCCTAAATCCTTCTACATCTCACACATTTCCAGATTTGGTTCAGAAATACTACACTATGACTTTACCTATATATTAGTGAGTCTAGTTACTCAAGCAACATATATCTCCTACCTTTGTAAGGTTTGTTTCTACTCCAGTATCCACATTCGAACTTTTTTTCTTTTCTAGATTCTTTACCGGTCTCTCCCTTGTTTCTAGCTAGCAACCCGAAAGGGTTGGTCTGCCAAGGCTTTAGGTGCCTTATAGTCTCTCTTCCCTTGGTACATGCTTCCAGAGCATATGTCCTTTTCCTCTGATTAGCGATCTGGCCGTTTGGCTAGTATGTTCCCTACTTAAAAACCTGGTTACTTAGTTCTCCAGTCACAGTTTCTGGTTCCAAATTTGGTCTTCCTGTGGCACTGTTGAAAGTTTTTACTACTTCTAACTCAGGTCTTTCTAAACAGATTTCAATCATCCCAGTTTCTTGGCATTTATACGCCAGAGCTCTCATAACAAGATGGTGCAACCAAGATTACAGATTGTAGATTCAACCGATTGATGGATAATTGTTACTAAACACAGGTTTAATTTTTTAAAATCATTGTCCATGGAATTTGAACTCTAGACCTGCTGCTTGGAGAGGTAACAACTAGACCACTTCACTAAGCTGCCACACCCTCTGCTATAGTTTATTAAATACTGTTTTAATAAAAGTTGTTGTATTTACTTAGTTTTATAACTCTAGTTAGGTATAAGCTCTTCGTCAGCTCAGTGGTTTAGCTAGTTTTCTTTACTTTTCTTTCTCTAGAAATTTTGTCGCAGTGCTCAACAGGAAGAGTTTTTTCAAAAAAGTCTTTTTAAATATTAAAATAAGTATTTAAACTTTTAAAACTTTATTAATACTAAATATAATACTTAATACAGACTAAGCTCTATTATATTTATATTATAAAATACAACTAGCTATATATACAACTTTTTGTTGCCTATTTAAATAGTTCAGCTTTAAGGTTTTACACTAGTAGCTATATCTGTAATCTATTAGAAAATTATCTATTTAAACCCTCTAACCCTATATTTGTATCATAATATTTATATCTAATCTTTTTATTTTGGAATCTAAAATTTAATTTCTAGTATCTAGTTTTTTTCTCTAAAACTAGTAAAACATTTATCTCTATATTAAACTTGCTAGAATAGTATATATTCTATATATATATCTACCAGACTTTTGGTAATTTATACTATAGATTTACTTATATACTCATGTATTATTTACTTCTATAATTACTTATTACTATTTTTACAAAGTTTAATATTTAGATCTCAGTATCTATTTCTTATTTCTTTTATACTTTATATTTTTGGTTTTTTTAATCTTTCAATTTAGTTGGCCTAGCAAAGTTAGTCTCTTTAGGCTTTAAATATCTTTAAAGTCTCCTTCTTTTTATATATACTTCTAAAGTATATATTCTTTTTTTCTAATATAACTTTAGTAATCAGGTTGGTAAAAGTAAAAATCTTAAAAATTTTCTTTAATAATTTAACTTAGATTTAATTATTAGCTTTTTTAAAAAAAAAAAAAAAATTAAAAAAAATAGTTTCTTGTATTTATTAAAACCTCCAAAGAGATTTATTTCTTTATTACTACAAAAACAATAATAAATATTTAAAATATACTATATATTTGCTTCAAAAATAGTTTTGATATAGAATTATAAAGAATTATAAAAGTTAAAATAAAATTAAAATAAAATATTAAAAAAAAAGAAATAAAATAAAAGATTGAAAAAGTTAAAAAAAAATAATCATTAAAACAAAAGAAAGTCCAAATAAGATAAAAAGTTAGAAATTTTTTTTAATTTTTTTTTTAAAAACAAAGAAAGTATATCTAAAATAGTAAGTAATTATTAATATCATAGTAAAGTATTAGAGTTAAGAAAATAGAATAAAATTGAAAAGAATACAATTAGCAAAAACACCAATTCAAAAGTTATTATTGTGAAAAGCATAAACAAAAAAAAAGTTTAACAAACTCTTTCTATTTTTTTTATTTTTTTTTTTTAAGCGATCCTGCCTTTATTTATATAAACTGATTGTGTAAAAAGCACAATAGCAATTGACTATTCAAACATAATATTCTAATTTAATAAAGACTTACCAAACTCTAAAAGTCTAATATAACCTGCCATAACAACTATTAGTCTATACAAAGACTATAGCATCTTGCCATATTCAATATTACTCAAAGGCAAATATATTCTTATAATAATAAACTGGCTGTTATATGCCTTGTCAGGATTACCCAACCTTCAAGATCTTCTTTCATCAAAATCAGGGTAGAATATCTATCTTCTACTTTTCTCTAAACAAGGATTATATATACTAGTATTGTTACTGAAAGACTGAAATCCCACTGGATGTCCAGATTTTCCCAATGTTCTAGTAGTTCTAGTGAGAAATTCTACTAGAATGATTTTTTCACTGGAACATATTCACCTGATTGGCTAATCTAAATATAATTATTAGCCAATCAAATTAGTTAGTTGGCAACTGAGCTTCCAAAGCAATGCAATGCAATATATTTAGTTTACTTTTCAACTCATCTTCTAAAACTGCTTCAAAATTCTAAAATAATGATTTTTTCTTT